TACTTCATGCTCTCTTCACCAGTAATAATGAATGAATTTGAGGACTTGCACAGTTTTTTCATTGCTTAGCTTTATTACTATTGCTTTTTGCATGTCTTTGAAAATTAAAGTATCTACAAAATTCTCTTGTTTTGTGGAATATCATATTATCTAATGCATTCGTAGATAAAATTCTACATCGGCCAACTACACATGTGGCCCCTGAGTTTGTCCGACTTTTAAAAAAATAAATTTACAAATTGCACTACTGGGTTTATATGTGCTGATCTTATAAATTTACAGTAACATCTTTACTATTTTTCTTGTCATATTATAACTATTTTGGTACAGTGTAACTGTTAGAATAGAAATAAGTATTTCCTACTTAGAATAGGAATAGGAATAGGAATAAGAATAGGAATCGTAGTTGGAAAAGGATTCCAATGTAGTGTCTATAAATAGGGTCTCAATGTAACTATTTAGATACACAATTCAATAATATTTTTCCCATATATTTCTCACATGGTATCAAAGCATTGGTGAGAAACTTCAAGTCACCGTGTCAAATTCCGGTGACGACGGTTGGGACTGATTTGTGTCATCTTTCGTTCTGAAGGTGTTGTGCGAAAAGACAACACCATCACGAGGTTCGGGAAGCTCAGGCGACCGAACCCCAATTAGATCCACCGGAAAACAGCCCCTCACGCGCCGTTCGAAGGTGGAAGTTTTCCGGCAAGATCTGGTCACGCGTTGGCGCGTGAGTGCTGCTCCGGTCATCTGTTTTCGAGCAGTTTTCTTTTGTTGGGGTCGTCCAGTATTTTCGACCAGAACCCAGTCAATTTTCTCCAGATCCAATCACCGGAATTAGGGTTCCGGTGATTTTCAGGCAGTTTCCGGCGAAAACAAACCACTATAGGGCAGTTTCCGGCAAGTTCCCGGTAAAATCATAATTTTCAGGCCACTGTGGGCAGATTCCGGCAGCTTCCAATATTTTCAGACCACTATAGCAGTTTCTGTCAGTTTCCAGCATACATACCAGTCTATGGAGAATCGACGAAGGAGAGAACGTTTTGGAAAATCTCGATCCAAGTGTAGTCATTGTCATAAACCTGGACACACTCGTGACGTATGTTATATTTTGCATGGTCCACCACCCAGTTATGATCCTATTGTTCTAAAGGAATATAA